AAGATAACCTCGAAATTGATGCAAGGTCTAAATATTTTATATTGTTTTATAGTTTTATAGTTTTAATTGTTTTAATCTATTGTCATATGTTGCTGATTTGCTATGTGATTTTTATACATGTATAAGACATTGAATTTTGCCATTGATTATGTTGTGAACCGCTTTGTGTCCACCCAGGGGTGAGAGAAGTGGTTTATAAATGAAATAAATAAATGAAAGATTTCCAACTTCCAATTTTGAACTAGACACAATGACTCTAGAATTCTATAGCTAAACTCCATTGACAAATCTGCAAATTAAAAGGAAAAGAAAAAATGGGTAACATATAGCAGAATTTGTGATGTGAAAATAGGTGTCTTTCGCACATCAGTGTCAACACTGACACTTTATTAATATATGATCGTATCAGATGTCAGAATCTAGTGAACCTTTTCATGGACAAAGTGCAGCACATGAGCCACAGGTTGCCCACCTGGCAGTTTTTGTGACTATTTGCTCAAAAATTATCTCTAGGGGATGTGAAAGACATTCTTGTCATGCTTGGAGCCCTCCGAACTCCCCAAAATGGTTTGTCTTAAAATGACCAAGTACGCTGTCTAGGAGCCCAAGAAGGTCCCCCATTTTCCCAGAGGGCCTATGAGAGCATCTGGGAGCAAGCTGATTTTGGAAGGAACAGCCCTGCAAGGTCTCTTGGAAGGCGAATGTCTTCCCTAGTCTTCCAAAGTTGCCTTCCCCTGAGTGTGAACAAATACAGCTGTAAACCTGTTGCTTCTAATATTGGTTCTATCCCAGTGGTATTCATATATTAAAAATGTGTGCTGTACTTGATTTCAACTTCCATTCATAACTGAACTTTTTTGTTGTGGCAAGTTTTTGGCAATGGTTTCCAAAACCAAACCAAATCCAATGGTATGTATATCCCAGTCAGAACCAGAAATTTGAAGAGGGTAAAAGTGGTCACATGTTCCTTAAGTTTTCAATGAAAATCAGAGTTTGATTGAAAGAGTCTAACCAGAGCCATTAAGAAAAATAGCAAATTTAGATCAATTCACGCAAAGTGCAGATAGGAAAAGAGCTGATTATACATCTGCATTTATGCAAATACCCTTTTCTGGTATTTAATTATTTGCTTGTCTGATTTTGATTATTGAAATGGTTGTACAAGTACATATGTTTCTTCAAAGTATTTTTGTCTTTCCTCTCTATATAAGTACACATAATAAACCTATACATGTAGCACTGCAATCTTGCATCATTGCAGTGTAAACACTGATGGGTCTTTTCTTTCTTTCAGAGGAGGTTGGCATATCTCAATGTAAATGTTTTTTTTTTAAAAAAAAAAACTATATCTTCCTGTTTGAAGATCAGAAAAGAATACAAAAGCAGAAAAGGATTATTTCTTGTTTATATATCTTGCGAAGGGAAAGACTGGGGCATGAGTATCGTAATTATTTTGTGATGTAATGAATGCAGTTTGAAATAAAATATTCCAAGTACACGTCCCTTTTTTCTACATCATGAAAATGTTTTGCCACCATAAGATGCTTTAAGCCCAGGCACTTGACTTCAGTGGTAACTAAAGCATCTCAAGTGGCTGCAGCATTTGTATAAAACATTCTGATAGAATCAAGTTTTATAGTAACATGGTTATAAATATGACTGTGGCAAAGGTAATATTTACTTTGCACAATACAAACACACAAACGGAATACACACAAAGACATGCACAAACAAACAAAAAACAGCTCCTCTATGACACTCCCAATCACAATCTGATGGGTTGTATCTCTTACTAGTTTAGATACCCGGTGATGCTTATGTTAGGGATTCTGTAATGATAATTATTAGAAGTAATCACTGTTTGCTTTAGATTTTATGAATGGTCCCATCTGAAAATTCACAAGGATGTGGGTAAATTACTATTCCCATTATCATCTGTCAGTGCTCCCAAACTGCACCAGTAGTTAAACTTGGTCAAGACAAGTGTGTCCGATTTGGTCCAGCTCCATCGTTGGTGAGGTTCAGAGGGCTCTCTGAAAGTGGGTAAACTTCAACTCTCATCATCCTGAGTTTATTTCCTGAACCCCCGCCAGTATGTAAAGTTGGTCATGATGGGTATGTGTGCCGATTTTAGTCCAAATCCATCATCAGTGGGGTACACAAGGCTCTCTGGAAGTGGGTGGACCCAAATTCCCATGCTCCTCTGTCATGCCCCACTTCCCATCAGTATGTAAAGTTGATTGTTGGTATATATGCCAGTTTTGATTAGGATTCATCATTGGTGTGGGTCAGAGGGCTCTCTGGACTGAAACTCCCATCATTCTCTGTCGTATGTTAGACGATTCAGACATCTGTATTCCGCAAACTGATAAACATCTAATAAAAAGTAGCAGCTGAGTATTAGATTAAATAGTCAAATAAAATAAATGCTTTTGGGGGGAAATCTGCGTAAACAGATATTGTTCAGATTTGAGCTACAGTAACTTCCTATAGTTTCGCAGATATTTTTTGAGATTTGGTGTTTTATATTAATTGATAAAGGAACATGGAATCTGTTGAGTATATGAAAATTAAAGCCTTAGAGCATTTTCAAACCCTATGTATTTCCAAAAGAAAATGCTAAGTGTATAATCCTATTTTGCTAGTGTTATACATGAAATGTCTTAAAATTGAAAGCCTTATAGTTATTATATGACCACTTGTAATTGCCCAAGATAGGACTTATTTCCAGTTCTTAAAAATGTGAAGAATTAATTCAGTGGAGCATGAAACAACCTCTCAGCAAATGGAAATAAGTTTACAGTGTGTGATTTTCAGGCTTCCATTCTTAGGTTATCAGATAATGTATTTCTTTTCAGTGATTATTGTATAACCCATTATTAGACCTTTTTTCTGACATTATGGGTTTTGGTGTGGCATTAAAATCAATATACAGTATGTTAAGTTCTATAGCCATTGATTCATTGTTGTTAAATGTCATTTACAAAAATAATGTTGGCAAACATTTTAAAAGTTTACAAAGCTCTGTCCTCACCACCATATTGCTAATTTTATTAATGTTTTGCAGTTTTAAACAAAAAGAGTCAGTATTTTTTCTCTTTTGAAGTGATTCATTAACAAGTCTGTAGGAATCCTGCCCTCTATCCCTTCATGAAGTAGTTCTAGCAGTTGTAAGACTGCATAACGAAACATGCTTTGAATGGAGAATGCAATAGATATATTTCAATTAATAAATACGGGCAGTCCCTGAGTTACAAACATCCAACTTACAAATGACTTATAGTTAAGAACAGGGGTGAAACAACAGGAAGTGAGAGAAATCTACTCCTAGGAAGGAGAATTCATTTCTGAAAGAGTTATCATGGGGAAAAGATGTTGAGAGAATCTGACCTGATTGAAGACGTCAGGTCTGGGTGGGTGGGTGGGGGATATATAGGAAGCTGATGGGAGCTCCTTTTGGCAGTTGCCCTTCCAGCCAGCAATCTGCCCACCTACCCTTAACTTAGTTTGGTTTTTAGTTTCTCCATCGTTGCCACAACTTCAAGATCAGGTCCTGGATCCAGATCTAGAAGGAGCAGTGCTACTATGGCATTGGCCATGACAAAGGGAATCACCTACTAGGGACTCAGGGGTGCACTCAAAATGGGTCCGGAATGGCTGTTGGATTAATGTGTCTCCGGTGGCGAGGGACAGAGCTCTGTGTGGCCTCTCACCAAGTCATCCCATTAGTCTCTGGCTCTAATCTGGAGTAACAATCTCATTGATAAACAGGCAAGTTAGTTGATGATGAGATTCATGTCCCCTGTATAGTTCTTCAACCTTGTTGTGAGCTATAACCAATAAAGTTGTGGTTTTGGCATCCCAATGTATATTCATCTGTGTATGTTTTTTGGGGAAGCAGCAGTCTCTCCCTCTGTTCACATGAAATCCCCTGAAAAGAGTCTGAGCAAAGAAGAAATGGGGAAGAGATTTTGCCTTCCTTCTGCTGTTGCCCCAATGCTGTTGTGGTGGCCGGGAGAACTTTTGCACAGTTAAAACTTGTGCGCCAGCTGCGCCCGTACCTTAGGAAACCTGACTTGGCCACGGTGGTCTACACTCTTGTTACATCCCGAATAGACTACTGCAATACACTCTACGTGGGGTTGCCTCTGGAGACTGTCCAGAAGCTTCAACTAGTCCAACGTTCGGCAGCCAGGCTGCTCACTGGGGCTGGGTACATGGAGCGCCCAACACCCTTGTTACGCCAGCTCCACTGGCTGCCTATCAGCTTCCAAGCACAATTCAAAGTGCTGGCTTTGGACTATAAAGCCCTTAACGATTCTGGCCCAATTTACTTGTCCGAACGTATCTCTCGCTGTGAACCACCTAGGGCCCTAAGATCATTTGAGGAGACCCTGCTCATTGTCCCCCCATTGTCACAATCGCGTCTGGCGGGGACAAGGGACAGGGCCTTTTCTGTGGTGGCCCCCCCGGCTATGGAACTCCCTCCCGAGTGAAATTAAATCTGCTGCATCCCTCTTGACCTTCATGAAACAAGTAAAATCCTGGCTATGGGATCAGGCCTTTGGAGAATAGGCTGACCGACTGACGTGTTGACTTATTTAGAACTGATGGACTGCCCTTGGATAATGATTTAAATCAGTTACCACTGACTATTTGTTGTCTGTTTTTATATTGTTTTTATATTGTTTATACGGTTTTATACTGTTTATACTTTTTTATATTGTTGTTATTACTACATTGCTGTTAATTGTATATTTATGTTTTGATGTGGGCACCATGGGGTGCCACTTTGTTAGCCGTTCTGAGTCCCTTTGCGGAGGTTGAGAAAGGACGGGATGTATTATAAACACATTTTTGTAGACACAGTATACAATTTGAGACAGTTTTTCTTCCTGGTTGTTTGAGTTCTGAGAATTGACTGTATTTATTGCTCTCGGGTTTTATAAACAGTTTTTTTTTCCAGCCTAACATTTTTGTGTTCATTATTTTTGCTCTAGAACTAGCTGTAAGCTGTTTCAGATGACTGTCCTTCTGTGTGAGATGCACCTTTGGTCGCTGAAGAATACCTTGCATGTTGAAGGTAAAATAAAAGTTATCAATCCAGATCTTGAGTTCTACCAAATCATTTTTTCACTTCACCCATTCAGTCCTACCATTCAGCTCCTGACTGCCAATTGTTTCTAACCATGAAAAAACACTATACTCTGGCCTAGACAGTTCTTCTAAAGAATAAGTATTTCCCAAACAATGGTACAGGCACACCAATCTTGGCAAAACGAAGGCTGTTAGAGTGTATCACTGGCTTTCTGCAGTTTAAAAAGAAAGATATTTAGTGTGCATTGCTAGTCTTGTATCTATAGCAGTGGGCTCCTTAGCAGCGTTTTGTTACTTTAGATTTTGCAGTAAAGAGTAATCTGCCTGTGAAACTTCCACCCAGATGTTTTTGACCCATAACTGAGGAATAAGCTTGTCATATGGGGCAGATGACATACTTTTATTATTTTCTTACTTTCATATGTGAAGAGTGTTTAAGAAAGGAGGATGGCTAGTTATTGTGCCATTACACACACGTTGATTTTATACCCTATCCTTAACAAGCCCATCTACACTGACTATTTAATGCAGTTTCAGGCCAGTTTCAAAGAAAGTGATTTTACTGTGCAGTTGATTACATAAGATCTCTTGGAGCCAGTTTGGGGTCCAGATAGGGATTAACAAACCACAGAACACTGATGCACACTTTTTTCCCCACGCACTTTTGTGGGAGTTTGTTGTCTGGCTGCCACAGTATTCAATGCAGCTTTGAACTGCATTGAATAGTTGCTGTAGATTGGGCATTTGTTTCTAACACCAAAGTTGGTTTTATTTTTATTCCTTGGATATTAATTTGGTGTTATGTTTCCGTAATTATGTAGATCAAGACATTGGAGTCCACCATTACTATGACAAAAAGGAATCGGGTAAGATATATATATAAATATATATACATATATATTATAGATATATAGTAATATATATTTACTGATGAACATTACTCCCCAAATCCTTATTTTTTCTTTTGAGAAACTATAGTAAATTGTATTCATTGATGAAGATAAACATGATTAACCGGAATAAAGCAAAATCCACAAAAATGTGATACCTTTCATGGCTAACAAAATGTAAAAACCATGTCATGCAAGCCTTCAAAGCTCTGTTAGATAGATATTAAGATATTAAGACATCATACTGAAGAAAAGAAAAGTGATGGAGTTTGAGTCCTAGGCCTGCATTTTTATCAGATGTTGTAAAACAGTAGCAACTTAAAAAACAAAACAAAACAGAGGGTGCATCTACACTGTAGAGATAATGTCCGTATAACTACACCACTTTAACTGCAATGTCTTAATGCTATGGAACCATGAGACTTGTAGTTTTACCAGGTCTTTAATCTTCAGTGCCTAAGAGTGGTGATGTCTCACCAAACTACAGCTCCCAAGATTCCATAGCATTGTGCCTTGACAGTTAAAGTAGTGTCACACTGCATTCATTCTACGGTGTAGATGCACCCACAACATCCAGGATCCCAAGTGTAGATACTTCACTGCTCCTGATGGGGTTTAAATTAGCCTTTTCCCCAGTCATCACATGACCAAAAATGGAGTAGCCTTTATCTCATTGAAATCCCTCCAGACCAGCTGAACAATAACACTATGTAACACAATTTTTGTTCCTGGATTATAAAAGTCATTTCCTAATTGGTTCTATCATAAAAACATGGAAAAGGTTGTTAAACTGCCAAAACTTTGTTTCTGCAGGACATTCTTCAACACATTTTGCTATAGTTTTTCAATGAATATCTCACCAAGTCTCAACCAATTCAACATAGTTTGTGGCAGCCACAAAAACAAAGTATCTAGAGTATAACAACTACTTTCAAAGTAAGGGCCATACAACTAAACAAGAAATAACACTTTCAAACCAGGAACAGATTTTGTTTCAAAATGTGTAATATAAACAACATATGCCTCAAAATGTAAATCAATACCCTATACCTTTTTTTCTTTGTTTCTTCTCTCTTTTTCTGGAATCCTTTCTGGAATATTTTATTCTCAATAAAAATAATTATATATATATATATATATATATATATATATATATATATATATATATATATAAAAGCTTGTGACTCAAAACACCATTATTTTTCTTCTCTTCTGTATGATCTTAAAACAGCTTTTGACTGATGCAAAAGCCAGTGGAGCTTTGAAAGCTTGAATGAAGTGATTTTTGCATTTTGTTTAGTCAATAAAAAGATTACTCCTTTATGGAATTTGTTTTATTTCACTGTATGGCCAGCATGGCTACTCTTGAATACTATAATTAATCTGACATATTTTCAGGGGGAAACAGGTATAAAGTGACAAAAAGTGTATTTAACTTGTAGAGCATAATAGGTTTCAGCCTATCGTTCCTTCTGTCTCCTCCTTGCAGACATACACAGGGGTTTTTTTTTTTTGCCCTTCCTCTTCTTCTTCTCCCATCTTTTAGAATATTTCCATTATAGTTTTCCATAGTTTTGTTCTTGCTGAATTAATTCTGATCTTGAATTTGATAATTTTCTTCTTAGATCAGTATGGCTTACTTTGCTTTATAAATGCGCCTGAGCGTCCTGCATTTCTATGCATTTAATTAGAACAAAGTATAGATTTGTATTATTTTTAAATGTAAGATCAACACATGTATTTCAGATATTTTAATTTTCTGTAAACATATAGGTTATGTAACGTGATATTTTAGATTGATATGTGCTCCTGTTATCTTTATATTACACACACACACACACACACACACATATATATATGGAACTCCAGCAGAGGGCATTGTAAATTCATAGGACTCCACTTTTGTTGACCTCCTGGGTCCTCCTTACCTGGTGTTTGAAATAGGTATTTCAGAGTGAATCAGTTTGCTTTATCTGATTAATCTTTTTAATCCTAGAAGATTCATGATGGACTAAAAGGTCTGTTCAGCTAGAATAAAACTTCCTGTTTTAGTGCAGGTTAACATGGTGGCTTGTGTGGTCATCTTGTGCTGCATCCACAACTGAATCCCAACTAAAAATTCTGTCACCCCAATGACAGATTGACAGAAGTTTTAGTTGGAATTCAGTTCACCGATCCGTTTATCTGATTAGGCAAAAACTTCTACATTATTAGCCCTCTATAGGGATTGCTTAAACTCTTATTTCATTGCTAATTTAATCTTTCAGGAAGGGAAAACGTCTGAACTTTTATTCTCAATCACATTTCTGTATTATTTGAAAAAAAAGATATCACTTAGCATTTTACTGACAACGCATGTGGAAATTATTCACCTTTTGATTTTTTTTCTTTTTCTAGAACCACAATTGAACTTTGACCATTTGCATCAGAAGCAACTGTTAGCAGAATGTAAGCATTATTTTCAGTTTTCATGTTACTACCAATAAACTAACTGTAGATGTAAATTAACAGTGTATCTTTTTTTTCTGGGGCTTTTTTTTAAAAAAACAGCAGCAGTGGTAGTAGTTTTGAATAGGAACAGAGGAAAGGGGTTTATTTTAATTATTTTAATTTTTCTTTGAATGCCATTTTAGTTTTCCCTGCTGGTTGCAGTTTTGATTATGATAAGGTTCTGTTAGGTAGGAATATAGCTAGAATTGAATGGATTCAACAGCCCTTCTCCTACTTCGTTCTCAGTGTAAAATCAAAGGGCACATCTACACTGACTACATAGGTCAGTGTAGAGCCAGATCAGCCCCGTGGTGGAGCAGAACTTCAGTAATGAAGGGCAATGGTAGTCACCGTCCTCTCTCACCCTCCGTGTCAAAGTGATAACTGGCCACAACATGGATTCTGCCTGTCTGCTGTCAGCTGCAGTGATGTTGGTCAAGGTGAAGGGACACTCTTGGAGGGGAGTGGGGAGAGAAAGGGACATTTCTACACTTCCTCGTCCTGCCTTGCCCCATTCTCCTAACCAACATTGCTGAAAGTGAGGGCTGAACAGATGAGACCAATGGCACGGATGGAGACCGTCATGAGTGGGGAGTAGGTGAAGATGGTTAGGGTGGGTGTCCAGCAGCACCAAAAAGTTTTCAGTGCCTCTGGGTGATTGGGTCTCCCTCATACCTCTGGAGCAGCTGGGGGAGTCTCTGTTTCACCCATATCTGGACTGGTTCACCATATGATATGCTGGATAGGCGCCAATAATCGGCGCCGGTTACAGGCTGTCCCTAAGTTACAAACAGAATAGGTTCTGTAGATTTGTTCTTAAGTTGAATTGTATGTAGTCGGAACAGGTACATTTTTTAAGTGTAACTCCAACCACATGTACACACACAGAGAGAGAGAGAAAGAGAGAGAGAGAGATACCATGTTGTTGTTGTTTATTCATTCAGTCACTTTCGACTCTTCCTGACCTCATGAACCAGCCCACACAAGACCTCCCTGTTGGCCACTGCCTTTCCCATCTCCTTCAAGGTCAAGCCAGTCACTTCAAGGAGACCATCAATCCATCTTGCCTTTGGTTGGCCCCTCTTCCTTTTTCCTCCCATTTTTCCCTAGCATCATACTGTAAAAAAATAAATAAATAAAGCCCGACTGGAGGGAAGGATAATAGAGGCAAAGATGAAGTACTTTGGCCACATTATGAGAAGAAAGGAAAGATTAGAGAAGACAATGATGCTAGGGAAAATAGAAGGAAAAAGGAAGAGGGGCTGACCAAGGGCAAGATGGATGGATGGGATCCTTGAAGTGACTGGCTTGACTCTGAAGGAGCTCGGGGAAGTGACGGCCGACAGGGAGCTCTGACGTGGGATGGTCCATGAAGTCACGAAGAGTCGGAAGCGACTGACTGAATGAACAACAATAAATAAATAAATAAGGTAGCATTATTTGGAAAAAGTTATTACCAATGCAATTTCAGAGTTAATGAGAACGAATCTCCTTACAATAGCTAAAACGTTTGTATTAATCCTTTAAAAAAAGGAATTGGGGGTGGGAGTGGGGGAGAAATAAGCCAAAGTTATTAGAATTTATTTTATAGCATTAGAACTTATTTCACTGGATGGAAAGCCTGATATATCAATCATTCTATTAGAAGGTTGGTAATATTTATAATGTATTGGGAAAACATAATTTAGGATCTGATTCATCATAATGTATTCTTCAGTTTTAGATTATCAGGATATGTTTTGAATTAAAAAGTGCTACTAAAATATGAAGCAATATTGATGTTGATTATAATATTTCCTATATATATTTCTTTTGCTAGCTCGAGATTATCCTTGGGTACTTAAGAACAAACGTCCAGAGAAGCTGAGGGACACACTTAAAGAGCTAGAGGTACCTTTCAGACGTTTTCAAATCACAATCCAGGTTTTCAAATCTCTTTCAACAGCTTTAATTTTCATAAAGGATCATCCCTTCTGGCGATGAATCCGCTTTTGTGTGGTGGGCTACCCAAAACAGTTGCATCTTTGTTTAAAATGTCAGACAATCTTTTCTCCTTGAAAATCAGAAGCACTTTAGCCACAAGTAAAATGTCTACAGCCATCGATGCACTATTTTCTGTTGTTCTCTAGGAACTGATGCAAAACAGTCAGTGTGTGCTGTGCAAATGGAAGACCAAATACGTCTGTCAGGTAAATATTTTGACATGCTTTTGCAATGTTCTGTCAACAGAGATTAACAGTTGACAAGGGACTGATGCAGCAGGACAAAGTTAACTGCTAGCATATCATTAGAATGATCATATAAGGATTTTTTTTTAATGCAAGTCTTGATGTTAACTATTTTAAAAAGTAAAATAGTAAAATCCATCTTGGTAAAAATGACTGTATTTGCATAGGGAAATAACAATATAAAATGCATAGTGCCTTGTGATGTCAATTAAAGAGCATTTTCCACGATATTTAGGTTGCAAGGCCCTGATGATATGTTTGGTTGAACTGAAGTGGGTTTATTTTTGAGTAGTCATGCACTGAATTACACTGTCAGGATCTTCAAAAGAGATCTACCTGGAAATAAGAATTCAGTTAGAATTTCATAGGAAAACCTTATATGTTATATTTAAAGTGTTTTATTGAAGCAAATACTTGAAAAAACGCATGATGACAACAAGACATCTAAACTACCCAGCTAAGAGTAGTTGTCCAATTAAGTGAATTGCTCAGACGTCAGTGAATCATATGTCTGTATTCTGTATTTACATAAATATCTATATGATATATATATGATGCATCTGTTCACATCCTTGTTCGCAGCATAGAAAGTGGGAACAGGTTGGAATCTTAAGTTGTGTGAGCCAGCATGCTAATCAACAGCTTTCTCTGTTTAATGTATTTAATTCATTAAAAGCTAGTGCTAGCTTTTTAGCCTTCCTTATTCTATTTTGAACAGACATGTCCTTGAGCTTATCATGATTTAACAAAGAATTTTGACTTTTGAAGATTATTAATTTATAACTTAATTATAAAACAGCTACATTGAGACCTGCATTACAGCCAGTTTTACTATAAATGAATTGAATTTTTAGTCATTGTAGATTTACTTTCTAAAATAAACATTAGTCTGCTCAGTTCTTAAGATATTTACTCTTACCTTGTAATTTTAAGATACCTTACTGCAGAATCCCAAGTTATGAATAAGATAATGAACCTGGTAGTAATAGTATGTTAAATTCATATTCTGCACTAATATTTTATTACAGAGAAAGCCGCATTGAAAACAGTGACACATACTTTTTGCTAAATTTCCAGAATGTTGTTCTGTTGGGTACTTAAAATGATTCTAAAAATGTACAATCTTTGTTCTTTGGCAAGGTCTCTTAAGAGCTAAGGCTTTATCTTTTATCTATTTATCTAGAAGAAAGCAAGACTTTCACTTGGGCATACTTGTATATGTTTGTTCTGATGGTCAAATAGAGCTGACAAGATGGGATCCCTGACCATTCAGCAGCTCGCTGTAAATCATATGCACAGTCTTTGCGGACAAAGTCACTCTAATCCATTACGACTTGGATTCCGTGTTAATGGCAGTCCCTGAAGATATAACTCGAGCACCTGCTTGTCTGGTTTTATTGAATTTATTTCAACTGGTGCAGCCTGAAGATGTGGACAAGATTCTTGGAAAGGCGAGAGCAACCACATGCATCCTAGATCCCTGCCCATCCTGGCTAGTAAAGGAGGCCAGAGGGGGTTTGGCAGAGTGGGTGAAGGTGGTGGTTAATGCCTCCTTAAAAGAAGGCAAGATTCCAGCGAGCCTAAAGGAGGCCATCATAAAACTGCTTTGAAAAAACCATCACTGGACCCCACTCAATTGAACAACTTTCAGCCAGTTTCCAATCTCCCCTTTTTGGGAAAAATCTTGATACATGTGGTGGCCTCGCAACTCCAGGTGTTGGAGGAAACTGATTATCTTGATCTGACGCAGTCTGGCTTTAGCCGGGACATGGAATTGAAACAGCCTTGGTTGCCTTAGTGCATGATCTACGCAGAGAACCGAACAAGTGGAGTGTGTCTCTGTTGGTTCTCCTGTATCTTCCAGTGACCTTTTATACCATAGACCATGGTATCCTTCTGTGACACATGGCAGGAATAGGTCTTGGAAGTACTGTTTTACATTGGCTCCAGCTCTTCCTGGAGGGCCACTCCCAGAAGGTGTTGTTGGGGAATACCTTCTCGACCCTGCTGCCTTTACCCTGTGGAGTCTCACAGGATTCAGTATTGTCCACCATGTTGTTTAACATCTACATTAAACTGCTGGGAGAGATCATCCGGAGTCTTGGAGTTTGATTCCATCTGTACGCAGGTGATGCCCAACTCTATCACTTCTTTTGCCTGCTGCTAAGGAGGCTGTTCAGGTCCTGAACCAGTACTTGGCAGCTTTGATGGTATGGATGAGGGCAAATAAATTGAATTTGAATCCAGACAAGACAGAGGTCCTCCTGGTCAGTTGTAAGGCCGAACGCGGTATAGGGTTACAGCCTGTGCTGAATGGGGTTACACTCCCCCCCCCCCGTCCAATTTTCTAGTTTATCTAAATTCTTTTGAATTCTGTTCCAATATTCCAATATGTTAGCGAACCCACTTCCCTCCAGTCCATTATCTATGTCATTGATAAAAATGTTGAGCAATGCTACTAGGACAGAGCATTGAGGCATTCCAATCAAGACATCCTTCCATAAAGCTCCATGCAAAGGTACTCATATTCCCTAGCCTTTCAGGGCCACATACTGTCAGCCATCAAATGCTGGCTGGAACAGAAAAGTCTTTATTTATCCATGAAAATAAAACAAGGGAGGAAGTCCTGAGTCTTGGGCCAACCACTAAGAAAGCCCTTGTTCCAACCGGATATATGTGCCACATCACATCCTGCTTGTCAGGCCCCTTCTACACTGCCATATAGTCCAGATTATCGAAGAAAATAATAAACACTATCTGCTTTGAACTGGATTATATGAGTCCACACTGCCATATAATCCAGTTCAAGGCAGGTGATCTGGATTTAATATGGCAGTGTAGAAGGGGCCTTGGTTGGTTTTGAGCTTACAGGAGCTTTTTCCTGTATCCAGCCTGGCAATTCTAATACTGAAGAGGCACAACAGCGGGGGGTGGGTGGGTGGGTGGGGGGGGGTTGGAATGGGTTGTGCTTTCATTCCTCCGCTTACTTCCTGGTTGCCTCAACCCACAGCAAAACAGCAAGTGCCAATAATAGTTGAACCATATTGCTACTTTACTGTTTAGTCTGGCCATAACCTTTAAAGTTACAGCCACAACAGAAAAGGAGTTCAGCTATCTTTGGTTGAGTAATAATGATAGTATAACTTAGTTTAAATTTGATGAATGGGGAAAGGTACTTATTTTGGGCATAGTTAGTTTCCTTTCTTCTCTGGATATTGGAGGAAATTGTTGCAGGCAATAATATTTTTTGAAAAACTATTCAGTTTCTTCATATGGCCTGTAAAATAGCCTTCTCAACTTTTGGAGTTTGTTGTTCTTCAAAAAACTTTTTCATTTATATTTTTGGGACAATTATAAGCACTAGTCAAACATTGCTGGGCTATAAGGTCATATTATCAACTTGGGAATAAATTGTGATTTTATCTAATCCAGCTGCAACATGAGGATAAATTGAAGTTTTGAAAGGTTGCAATAAAAGCTGGAATAGTGTGACTGTGTCTAACACTTTTAGTAGGACAAAACCTTAAAGGACATCTGCCATAAAACTGATGGAGCTTTCAACCGCCTCCCAGATGATTATCCAAAAGATATATTTGCCAGATAAAAAAGGGGAGTTGCTGTGGTACGGTTAATGTTTTATAAATAGAAATGCTTGATCTCGATATGTATTGACTAAGCTCTGAACAGGTATTTGAATTGCTTAAGTAGTTCTAAGAATTAATTGTATTTTGTGTAATGTTTTGTATTTTGTAATGTGCTCATATATTTAAATGATAGCACAAATAAACAAATACCATCAGTATACGTGTATGTACTGCCACAACATTTGATGGTCCTGATATGAAGCATATGCTTTGGATAAGAGTCTATATCAGAACAGAATATGAAGAAGCAGAATGGTTTTCAGTTAGCAAAGGAGTCAAACAAGGCTGTATTTTGTCAGCCTGTCTGCTTAACCATACAGAAACTTAATTTGACCCAAAGGAAGGAGGAGTGAAAACATCACAAACATGTAGATGACACCACATTACTTGCAGAAACATCTTCTGATGTACATTGGGAAGGAAATAGAGACGGAGGGCTAAGGCTGAATATTATGAAAATAAAAACATGACCACAGAAGAATTATGCTATTTTAAGTGGGTGACAATGTTCAAATTGTTCAGTGTTTTCTATATCTTGGTTCAGTCATTCATCAAAATGGAGGCTGCAATCAAAAAATTGAAAAAACATTGAAGGGGCTTCTACAATCATATAAAATCTAGATTATCTGCTTTGAACTGGATTATATGCCAGTGTAGACTCATATAATCCAGGACAAAACAGATAATGTGAACTGTCCGTTTTGATAATCTGGATTATATGGCAGTGTAGAAGAGGTCTAAAATTTGATATGTCAGCTTTGAAGTAACTAGATCCTCGAGTGAACAGTAAACTCTGGACTGTCCTTTTCTTTGTGAAATCTGGACAGGGGTAGGAAAAAATAATCTCATTTGAAATGTGCTGGAATCAAGTTCTTCTTGGACCACCAAAAATGATCAAGCTCAGTAAAGTTGAAGGGAGTAGAAAAAGAAAGATTGGAAAGTGGAAACCAATTCCAATCAAGTTTATGGTAGAAGAAAAAGTTAAAGTGTTTTTCCTCCAAACTATCTCATCTATTCCCCTGCACCAAATGTTTGTTTTCAAAAACTTTAAAGATAAGTTTAAAGATGTGGATAACATTGCATCTGGTTTGGCCATACAACTATAAAAGCAGCAGTAATGCTATCTTCATTAGCATTATTTATTTTTCATATTCAGTGAATATGTGTTCAGAGTAGGTGGAATTGTAGCACTGGTCCACTGCCAATTTATACATATTCGCTTTAAAGATCTGTTCAGTGCTCATGCACAAACAATTGTGCATGTAAGACTCTCTTTGCAACCGAGAACTCTGAATATGTGTTATCTCTTTCCCCAGGCCTCCACATCTGCAAGGTATTTTTAATACATACACACATTTCTCTACAGCCATCTCGCTGCCTCAGTATAAAAGAGAGGTGGAACTGAGATGCATATATTGATGATACCTATTTCCCATCCAATGTTATGTGGACATTAAAGACAACGCAAAAGAGGCTAAAGGAAAAAGACACTTAATAAGAGTCAGAGGTCATGAAGAAGGGGTTGCTAAAAGCACAATCTCAAAAAAATATCTTGGAAAAATAAAAAATGGGAAACATCAGAAAAAGCCAGTGTCGCAGAGGAAGTGGAAAGAAAAAAAAGAGTAGGTATAAAGAATGGAAGAAAGGATGAATCACCTAGGATGAATACAGTTGTTTAGCTCAAGCAGTTAGAAATAGCAAAAAGGAAAGCTAAAGCTCAGCATGCACTGAGATGGGCTAGGCAAACTAACAAAAAGTGTTTTTTTCCAGATACATTTGAAACAAGAGGAAATGTGGGTCTGTTTCTCAGGATCAACACGTATTTTGCATCACTTTTTTATTTTACAAAAAGGGAGAACTGGGTTATCATGTGTAAGCATATACCTTGGCAAGGAATCCAGAATTCAAATCAAGATAAGGCGATAGTCAGGAATCGCCTGGTTATTTTAAGTGAGTTCAGATGTTCAGAACCAGACAGACTGCATCCCAGAATATTAAGGTAACTTGTCGTCGATGCACTCTCAGAACCACTGGCTGTCATTTCTGAGAAATTTAACCCCATCCACAGACATTATAATCCTGCTGGAAACTGGCTTGAAGTCGGAGTGTCTACAAAATGTTCATCTCCAATGTTGGAGGATGCGACCTCCAACCTGCATCCATCCGAACATGGCTTGTTAAACCTTACTGGCAATTCTGGAGTGTGCTGTAAAATATGCCAAACTTCATCACTGTATAAACAGTGCAGTGCTGCAAAGCAGAAGTATTTGGAGCCCTTGTCCAGACAGGGTTAAAGCTGCAGGGGTCACAGATGGAACCCACATAAACAGCTTGGAGGGAAGATAAACAAACCCCTCCAGCAAGGAAAGGACAACCGGATTCCTCGCCATTTCAGTGTTGTTGCCTTTTTTTTTTTGTCGTGTCTGGAGCGACTTGAGAAATTGCAAATTGCTTCTGGTGTGAGAGAATTGGCCGTCTGCAAGAACGTTGCCCAGGGGACACCCAGATGATTTGATGTTTTCTCCCTGGATTCGAACCTGCAACCTGTTGGTCTTCAGTCCTGCCAGCGCAGGGGTTTAACACACTATGCCACCTGGGACTCTTTGTTGCCAAATAAAAAGCCAAGATATCTTCTTGGAGGGCCTTATATCTTTCCATATTAGGGAGAAAAGCCTTTGTAAAGATGTTCTTCATCTATTTTTCTCATTCCAGGCTATTTCCATAAGACCTCTCACTTCCAAATTTCAGTTATGGCAGACAATGGTCAATAACACACAGGAGGGAATAGTCAAACAAAGAGAAGATATAAATATAATATTTTGAAAATAAATATGCACAAAATAATTGCAGTATTTTATATATCATATTTAGTTTCATGATCCAATTGTTATATATCTCATGTGCTTTAGTTATATTATTTACTTAGTGATATTGGTTGTTTTAGGTTAAGATTTCTCTTATTTTGTATATAATTATTTTCATAATTTTATATTTATAATCACTTCTTCATTTTGCTCAGATTTCTTCCTTTTCTTCATACCTGATAGTCACAGGGGAAGTTCCCAAAGCTCTTACCTTTTGCGAAGCTAGCCCTTTCTACTTTGCCATATACAATCCAGATTATCTGCTTAGAACTGGATTATATGACAGTGTAAAGTGATATAATCCAGTTCAAAGCAAATAATGTGGATTTTCTGCTTTGATAATTTGGATTATATGTCAGTGTAAAAGAAGCCTCTATTTGCACAGGTGATTAGCAACTGAGCAGAGGGGAAGCAGTGTGTATGTATAATTCTTTTACAGAAAATTAATGGAACTGGGCAATATGTCAGAAGAGTCTGGCAATCTGAACTGGAAATACGACATCTTGGAAAATTGCTGGCCTTACATGAGATCCTTCCACCCTTATAAACCACACTTTATGTCAGTGAGTTTTTAAAATCATACATAAATGGTTACTTAAACCCAATATCGCTATTGAGTGTGTTAAAAAATCTCAATAGATTGTTGGAGAGGGTGTAAAGTTGTAGATTACTTGTTATACATGCGGCTAGAATGCCTTAAGATCTAATATTTCAGGTATAGTGGTTTGGTGCAGGTTTCTCTTATCACCAATCAAAAGGTTAAAGGTTAGCCTTAACTCTTGTTACATGAATGTTCTATAAAGAATATAATACTATATTTCTTCGAATCTAAAACACTATCAATTGTAAGACGCACACTAGCTTCAACACCACCAACACCTGTACCTTGTTTAATGTTTATGCTATTTGTGTATGAGATTTATTTTAATTGCTTTGTATTGTATCTGTTATTGCTTGTATTGCTTGTATTGCTTGTATTGTATTGTGGGCTTGGCCGTACCGAGTCCCTTGAGGAGATGGTAGCAGTTATTATTATTATTATTATTATTAACAGAAAAAAGTTCTCTTTCCTTCTCTTTCTTTTTCTCTCTGTAAACACATCCTGTAATGTAAACAATAAGAGTAGACCAATTCTCGCTTATGATAAATACTAAGCTTAATGTTGTACGAGTGTCTCTCTGGGACACTCGTACAACATTAAGCTTAGCATTTATCATAAGTGAGGATTGGTCTACTCTTATTGTTTACATTAACAATGTGCAGCTGCCGAAGTCTCCATTGCATCAATCTGAACTATGAAACATACATCCTATAACTTAGGCACAGTTAGATTACACACATGGAAAAGCAAGGTATGAACTACAGTTTGAACAGGTATTGGGTCACATGGAGTAGTTTGGAAACTTTACGCCTCCTGATGCTTGAAACATCCGTGTCCAGCATTCTGGCACATTGCCCAATGTCCTTGCTACGCGTCCATAAATCCAAAATATCTGGAGGACCAAAGCATTGGATAAAGCTTAAGAAGCTTTGAAATAGAAAGTATACAACCTAGTTTGTCCTCTTTCTTTGAACCTACCATCTTAATGGTTCTTCCTCTCCATTTGTATGGGGCTGTTGTTTGATTTGTTTGTTTGTTGTTTTGTATATTTGTGCAGTAAGTTTTTGGTACCTATATAGTTGACACCATCAAAAAAACCTCTGTCTCTAAGGAACATTCTCATAAGCAAATTCAGGGGTAGCCGTGTTGACCATACAGCAAAATGAAATAAAATCCATAAAAGTATTGCGTTATTGACAGCCAAATTGCACAAATTACTTCATGCAAGTTTTCAAAGCTCCACTGGTTTCTTATCGGGCAAAATATTTTAAAAAATAATGAGAAGAAAAGGAAAGTAATGGTTTTGGAGTCACAGGCCTACATTTTGTATCAAAATTACAGATTTTAAATGCAGACAGAAGCTGCTACCCTCTTGACCACATGAGGTCTATGGCCCCATCTACACTGCCATATAAAATCTAGATTATCTGCTTTGATCTGGATTATATGGCAGTGTAGATTAATATAAATCAGTTCAGATTAGATAATCTGGATTTTATATGTCTGTGTAGATGGGGCCAGAGACCACCAACAGTCCAATTTAAACTTCAGCGTCAGCAGTGAAGAAGCTCCTTATGGGATTCAGAGTGCTTTTGTCTTGTGAAGCGACAAGTGCTTTTCTTGGGCAGAAAACACTGAATTTTGTGACTTTACAGAAGCATCTGATCTTTTTTGCTTATCTACCTTTTCACAAAGCAGCAGGATGTGGAAGGATTTCAGCTGTGAATAGCAACATCTGTAGTAACTATTTTACACATAAATTATGGGACATTATGTTGTATAGCGAAGTATATCATTCTTACTTGTAGCAGGTGTATTTGAAGATCTCAGTATGTTCTTCTTTCTAATTTTCTCTTTTTTTTCAGTGAAAAAAGATCTCATTGTGAATCTGATATTGTCAGCTGAGCTTCAGTGTGTGATTCCCCCCCAGAAATTATATATTTTAAATGCAGTATTTTACTGATGAATTACATTACTTTTTTCTTGTGTATTTGGATTCAGCTCCTGTTTCATTCAGGTATACTGGTATCCCTAAGCCTTTGTGGGCCACAGCTGGAGCGAGTGGTGATTGACAGAACCCTGATGGGGAAGCTCATCTCCGACACTATCAGCGATGGTAATTATACCCATGTGCAATTCAGTTGCCTACATTTACAGTGGAACAGGAGGAATAGCATGTCAACAGGCAGACCAATTATTACCACTGGGGACATGGAAACACAACAAGTAATTACATATAATGCCATAGTTACTACCCTCAGGACCAAAACCACTTTAGAAAAAATATTTAACATCAAAGTTTCCTTTCTTAGCAAGTATTGCACTTTTTCCAAATCTCAGTTCCCTGTGAATTCTCCCTCAAAAGTATTAAAGTTAGTGCATCTAGCCACCTCCCTCCCCCTGAGTTGAGTGCTTCAGTCTATACCCACAAGCGTATTAAAAATAAATAATAATGTAGCAGTGATGAATGTCAGATCTCAGTTAATGCTACTGTCTTTCAATGGCAGGAGCCAGCTAAATGCATCCAGCTTAGTATTGTCAGGTATGATGGAAAACAGTGCTTCAAATTCTGAGTAAAAAGGGCTCTTTCCTTGACTTCTTCCTAAGAGCTATTAAATAATGGTGTTAGAATTGAACATAGAACCTTGGTTTAGATCAGGGATTCTCAAACTTTTTAAACAGAGGGCCAGGTCATAGTCCCTCAAACTGTTGGAGGGCCGGATTATAATTTGAAAAAAAAATGAATGAATTCCTATGCACACTGCACATATCTTATTTGTAGTGCAAAAACACTTAAAACAATACAATAATTAAAATGAAGAACAATTTTAACAAATATAAACTTATTAGTATTTCAATGGGAAGTGTGGGCCTGCTTTTGGCTGATGAGATATTTATTTTATTTACAGCATTTCTACCCCGCTCTTCTCACCCCCGCAGGGGGATTCAGAGCTAACAATGGCAATGATTCGATGCTGCAATAATTACAATTATAAAAGCAAAATAAAATCATACAATACAATACATTAAAACAACATTAGTTATCCAATCATAAAGGCATTTCCATTATAACAACCGTCTGGTCCAATTCACTGTTCAGGTGCTGTTATATCCATTTGACAAAAGCCTGGTTCCACAACCATGTCTTCTTCTGAAAGAAAGGAGGGAGGATGCCAATCTAATTTCACTAGGGAGCAAATTCCACAGGCGAGAGGTCACCACCGAGAAGGCCCTGTCCTTCGTCCCCACCATCCGCATTAGTGAAGCTGGTGGGAGTGTGATTATAATCTGATCTAGATGGATTTGCCCTCCTTTGGATGTTCCAAATTTGCTTCTTATATTTTCTCAGTATATATATGCTTATGCAGACATCTGAGGGGGAATTAAAAGGAACTACTTGCACCAAAGAGGTTTGAACTTGGTAGGTGCAAGTCTCTGCATTATTTTGGAATGGATAACAACACAGCCTATGACTTAGAATCATAGAATCATAGAATCAAAGAGTTGGAAGAGACCTCATGGACCATCCAGTCCAACCCCCTGCCAGAAGCAGGAATATTGGATTCAAATCACCCCTGACAGATGGCCGTCCAGCCTCTGTTTAAAAGCTTCCAAAGAAGGAGCCTCCACCACACTCCGGGGCAGAGAGTTCCACTGCTGAACGGCTCTCACAGTCAGGAAGTTCTTCCTAATGTTCAGATGGAATCTCCTCTCTTGTAGTTTGAAGCCATTGTTCCGCGTCCTAGTCTCCAAGGAAGCAGAAAACAAGCTTGCTCCCTACTCCCTGTGGCTTCCTCTCACATATTTATACATGGCTATCATATCTCCTCTCAGCCTTCTCTTCTTCAGGCTAAACATGCCCAGCTCCTTAAGCCGCTCATCATAGGGCTTGTTCTCCAGACCCTTGATCATTTTAGTCGCCTCCTCTGGACACATTCCAGCTTGTCAATATCTCTCTTGAATTGTGGTGCCCAGAATTGGACACAATATTCCAGGTGTGGTCTAACCAAAGCAAATAGAGGGGTAGCATTACTTTCCTAGATCTAGACATTATGCTCCTATTGATGCAGGCCCACATCACATTGTTGGCTCATGTTTAACTTGTTGTCCACGAGGACTCCAAGATCTTTTTCACACGTACTGCTCTCGAGCCAGGCATCCCCCATTCTGTATCTTTGCATTTCATTTTTTCTGCCAAAGTGGAGTATCTTGCATTTGTCACTGTTGAACTTCATTTTGTTAGTTTGGGCCCATCTCTCTAATCTGTCAAGATCGTTTTGAATTCTGCTCCTGTCCTCTGGAGTATTGGCTATCCCTCCCAATTTGGTGTCGTCTGCAAACTTGATGATCATGCCTTCTAAGCCTTCATCTATGTCATTAATAAAGATGTTGAACAGGACTGGGCCCAGGACGGAACCCTGCGGGCACTCCGCTCATCACTTCTTTCCAGGATGAAGAGGAAGCATTGGGGCACCCTCTGGGTTCGTCCATTTAACCAATTACAGATCCACCTCACCGTAGTTTTGCCTAGCCCACATTGGACTAGTTTCCTTGCCAGAAGGTCATGGGGGACCTTGTCAAAGGCCTTACTGAAATCCTGGTATGCTACATCCACGGCATTTCCCGCATCTACCCAGCTTGTAACTCTGTCGAAAAAAGAGATCAGTAGTCTGGCATGACTTGTTTTTGATAAATCCATGTTGACTATTAGCAATGACCGCATTTGTTTCTAAGTGTTTGCAGACCACTTCCTTAACAATCTTTTCCAGAATCTTGCCTGGTATTGACGTGAGGCTGACCGGACGGTAGTTGTTTGGGTCATCCTTTTTTCCCTTCTTGAAGATTGGGGCCACATTGGCCCTCCTCCAATCTGCTGGAACTTCTCCCGTTCTCCAAGAACTCTCGAAGATGGTTGCCAATGGTTCCGAAATGACTTCCGCTAGTTCCTTCAATACTCTTGGGTGTAGTTGATCTGGCCCTGGGGACTTGAACTCATTTAGAGCAGCCAGGTACTCCTGGATGACTTGTTTCCCAATTTGGGGTTGGATGTCCTCTAATCCGTCATCTACTCCATCTTGATGAGGTTGAAGATTTCTTTTTGTGAGAAGACCGAGGCAAAGAAGGCATTAAGTAGTTCTGCCTTTTCCCTATCCCCTGTCAGCATTGCCCCATCTTCTCCTCGAAGAGGTCCTGTCGCCTCCTTGTTTTTCTTTTTTCTACTAACTAAATAGTTTATTGATGAAAGCAAATATAAAAAAGCAAAAGGCAATATAAAAAGCAATGTCCAAAAAGGAATAGGAGAAAAGATTTCAAAAGGCAATAGTCCAAACTTCAGTGTTCTATTCAAAAGTGACAGGGTACATGAAAAAACAGGAATAAAACATAGACATAAATCCATAACCATGAACACAGAAACTTATTCCAAAACATGAATCCATGAGCATGAGCTCAAGACTTTCCCAAAGGTCTTAGACATAGACTTGAATGTGGAACAAGAACAAGATCCAAAGTGTACATCGTAAGGCAGCGTTGTCTGCTCTAAACTTTTCAGTAAACATCACTTTTATTTTAGGTCCACAAGCCATGAAGTCATGCTTTTGACATCTGGTCTGTTTCATGGATTTCTCATGGAGCCTCTGTGACCTCCGTAATCTGACTCTCTCCTTCCTGAGATCAAGTCGCATACTGACCTCAGGTGTTTTCCCAGGGGAAATATTTTTTTCCTTCCCGCTCCTCATCTTCTGTTGCCAAGGAACAGAAAGAGGAAAGGTCTTCCCTATCTTCTGATGCCCAAGCATCTCCACCTCCTCCCTGCTCTGAAGTCATTTCTTTCTGACCAGACATAGACCCATCCTCCCATACAGAATCATGATCCAAAATCCTTTCATTTCCCACACTGGAAAGCCCATCATTCCTCACAACTTCTGACTAAACAATCAGAACCAGAACAACTATATCTTTAATATTTTCTTTCTCATTCATTTACCTTATAGTTATACCATGGTCAACACAGCCTTAAATTTTTTTCTCCTTTCAGTCTCAAAAAAATCTTCATTCACATGTGAGATTTCCATAGAAACTAATTTTTAAATTCATTCAGAACACTGTGTTGTACTGATTCTCTGTCACACTGAAAGTTGTTGTTGTTCATTCGTTCAGTCATCTCCGACTCTTCGTGACCTCATGGACCAGCCCACGCCAGAGCTCCCTGTCGGCCGTCACCACCCCCAGCTCCTTCAAGGTTAGTCCAGTCACTTCAAGGATGCCATCCATCCATCTTGCCCTTGGTCGGCCCCTCTTCCTTTTGCCTTCCACTTTCCCCAGCATAATTGTCTTCTCTAGGCTTTGCTGTCTCCTCATGATGTGGCCAAAGTACTTCAACTTTGTCTCTAGTATCCTTCCCTCCAATGAGCAGTCGGGCTTTATTTCCTGGAGGATGGACTGGTTGAATCTTCACACAGTCCAAGGCACTCTCAGAAATTTCCTCCAACACCACAGTTCAAAAGCATCTATCTTCCCACACTGAAAGTAGGACTACACATTATTATTTATTTATTTACTATATTTGTATACCACTTTTCTCAGCCCTCGGGTGACTCAAAGCAGTTACATTTAATAGGCTTCTTCCTATATCTCAGCATTTATTTTATCATGTATTTTATCTCAGCATTTATTTTATCATTTTATCATTGCTTTAGATTTCATAGAGAACCAACCTAAAATTCAGGCTGTTTCTTTCTGCCAACTAAAAGGTACAGGTCACTGTATCTTTGTCTCAGGGTGACAAACAGTGAAGGGGTGCATTTGGATGGACAAATGCCCTCAAGGAAAGAGCTAAAGTGCCATCTTGTTAGCCTTCCCTGCGATCACCCATTCAGCATGAACCAACCTGCGACATCTTTACATGATAACAGAGAGAAAGATGGGGAAGAGGAGGAATTTTAGAACTATACATAATGTACTGTTTTGCTTTTAGTTGAGTGAAGGACAGCTCTATGAACGCTGTTAAGTCAAAAGAAATTTATTATTAAAGCTCTACACAAGTAATGTAAAACAATCCACACATATTTATATCTAATGGAGGTCAAAATGAGGACAAAGATCTCAAATTCTCTCTCTATAGTTGGCGCAGACTGTGAACAAAATGCCGTAGCAATGTTTTTATTCAGAATTGAATCAGAAATGGGCAAGCAATTGCAGATAATACATAGTAATTTAATAGCTTTCAGAGGGATTCACAGAGTTAGAGTTGGCTATTAGTTCCCACTCTAATGCACAGTTTTGCATGCAGTTCTTTAAGCCTCATCATAGGTTTTGTCCACAAAGGGTATATGTATATTTAAATGAATTATTATCATTATTTTTGAGATATTTGGAGTTCAGTTTATAGAGAGACAAAGATAAGTAGAAACTCCCTGACATGGTCAATAAGGACTTTCCTTCTTAGCTGTTCCAGTGTTATAAAAATACAGTGAAACCAAAACATTAATACTTCTTTATTTTAACTTTAATTGGACTTTTGTATGGAGACAATTGTCTGAACACTACAGCTCTGTCCACTGTGATTTAATTGGCTTCTGATATGCTCTGATTCAGAGGTGAAAGAAGATTTTTTTAATATGTCAAGGCCAAAAGTTTCTCTCCTGTTGCTTAATAGCATTAAAAAACCTGACTTCTGAGGCACCATCTGGCATATCATTGATATCCTCCTTTTTACATTTATGCTTGGCTGCAGCTGAAAACAGCATTTTTGCTTCAACAATGAAAGCAATCGTTGAAGGGAGTTACACTCCAAAATATAAAAGAAATGAAGAAGAAAGGAATATAGGAGGTGAAAGCTGTATCATATTACAGCAAGTATTTGGTACATGATAATTTATTCAGTTTTATTTGATATGAGTGCTCTGTAAGCTTTATTTTTCATTACCAGCCAGATCATGACAAGATGAAACACTGATGTCCTTTAGGAAATCACAGGTGCCTGAATGTTATATTTTAAGAAGTAGTATTAAAATATTCTTTTCTTGCTCTTTGAATCAGTGGAGTGCTAGTAATTTGTGTTGTTATTACTAACAGATATTACAATTTTTCCTTTGTTTTTCAGCTGTCCTCACAGATAGTTTCATGATCTTGACATTTTGGGAACAAAGCAAACTCTGTTTCATTCAGTTTACTAAGAAGGCAAATTCTCCTGATGTAAACAAAAGGCCTGAAAAACTCTCATCCCTGGAATATAAGGTATAGTCTTCAATTATGTTTACAAATATTATAATTGTGTACACCTATAGTGTAATTACTTACTACTTAGTGCAACTTATTTTAAAAAGCAATATAGCTGATTTGAAAGTTGTTTCTGAGTCTACACTGCCATATAATCCAGTTCAAAGCAGATAATCTGGATTTTATCTGTCAATGTAGATGGGGCCTGAGACTGGATCTACATTGCCATGTAAAATCCAGATTATCTGCTTTGAACTGGATTATATGGCAGTGTAGATTCATACACAGACTGTAGCCAGGAAATCAGAAGACATTTACTTCTTGGGAGGAGAGCAATGACCAATCTCGATAAAATAGTTAAGAGTAGAGACATCACACTGGCATTGAAGGTCCGCATAGTTAAAGCAGTGGTATTCCCTGTATGGAGGTGAGAGCTGGACCATAAGGAAGACTGAGCGAAGGAAGATCGATGCTTTTGAACTGTTGTGTTGGAGGAAAGTTCAGAGTGCCTTGGACCTCCAGAAGATCCAACCAGTCCAATAAATAATGCCCAACTGTTCACTGGAGGGAAGGACATTAGAGGCAAAGATGAAGTACTTTGGCCACATAATGAGAAGACAGGAAAGGTTGGAGAAGATAATGATACTGTGGAAATTGGAAGGAAAAAGGAAGAGGGGCTGACCAAGGGCAAGATGGATGGATTTTATCCTTGAAGTGACTGACTTGACCTTGAAGGAGCTGGGAGTGGTGACAGGGAGCTCTGACGTGGGCTGGTCCATGAGGTCATGAAGAGCAGGAAGCGACTGAACAAATAAACAACAAGAAGACACATATAATCCTGTTCAAAGTAGAACATGTGGATTATCTGCTTTGATAATCTGGATTATATGGCAGTGTAGATCCATCCTGAGAAAGTTTGAAAATTCTTCCCTTTTAAAACGAAGAAAAATAGTTTTGAAACCATTATATAGACTTTTAAATGGCTGCCAGCAATAAAGTACCGTTTTTAACCCAAGAAAATCTTCTCAAAAGTCAGGGGTCATCTTATACGTTGGAGTCGTCTTATACGCGGGAGTAGTCATACACGGGAGTCGTCTTATATGYGGGAGTTGTCTTATAGAGCGGGTGCTGAAACTTCCAATCCRGATTGGAGAATCTGTGGTTGCCGCATATGGTGGGGGAGCTCAAAAATCCATTCATCAGGATTCATTGACTTAATGCGGTCCCGATGATGAGGTGAAGGGGTGCCTCATCAGGAAGGTGTCAGTGAAGGGCGGAACAAGCTGCAGGCGTCTGGGGCGCCCGGGGTATGGAAAAAAGAGCTAGGGTGGCTCWGGGCCCAGAAAAACACACCTCTTTTACYTGTCTGGCCCGCCCTTGTATCCTATTACCATACCTCCTTCTCTGCCTCTCAGATCTCGCTCCTGAAGACTGCAGTGAAGTGGTGAGGTGTGCATGTGCGAGATCTGAGAGGCAGAGAAGGAGGTACTGTAATAGGAAAATTACTATATTGAAATCAAATCTGATGCTTTTAATTTTTTTATTTGGTGTGTGTTGGAAGAGGGGTAGTCTTATACGGCGAGTATATCCCACACTATATTTTAACTGGAAAAGTTGGGAGTTGTCTTATACGCCCAGTCATCCTATATGCCAGAATATACGGTATGTTTTGGCTGGATTAAGGGTTTAGTTAAAACATTGAGCCAAGTCTATACTCTCCCTTGTGTATGCAGAAGCGATATCCTGTTGTAACATAGCCTGCAGGAGTAGTACAGAATGATCCTGATATTTGCATAAGAGAATACTTATGAGAGTCTGGCAAGTGTCTTACTTTTTATCAATGCTATATTGATACATGGCTTTACTTGTAGAATGTGCCAAAATGATTTACTAGGTCGGGTTGTTATCTTACCACCTGATTTTCATTTTATTTTGTTGTTTAATGGGCTGTGTATCTTTAAGGCTGCTTCTTTTGTTAGACATTTTGCCAGGTTGCATCATAACTTGTTTGTTGGAATGCTCTCTGCTAGGATGGACATCTAATACATTTTCCAGGCTGTTTCAGTTCAAGGCCCCTTTTCAGTACCGACTTGTGTTTGCAAGATTGATCCAACCTCTGTAACATGGATTTGAGACAGTTCACTGTTCACGAGGAACTGAGCTGATATGTTGTTTACTTCAAAATGATGCACACTTGTGCCTTCCTGGGTATTTGTTAAGCTTAGGTTTTGCAAACCATGATCATGATCTATAGACATTTTGCCTAACCACAAAGCTTCATTAGGATCACGTTTAGTATGCTAATTTATTTTCAAAGTCTGTGATTCATGTGGCTGTTAGCCATGTTTGTGGGTCCTTATGTATCTCCTCACACATAGGGGAGCAGTATAAGATTATCAGTGTCATCCTTAAAAAAGAGAGGAACAAAATCACAGCCCATTATGAGCAAAAGAATCAAAGGATAATCACTAACACAATTCAAAGACTGTTTTGGTAGCATCTCAGGATTGTGAAACTTTTATGTCTTAATATTTGTAACTGAACATTATTGCAGTTTTATTATTTCTTACTGACTGACTGCAGTGCTTATTCATGTGTGTGCTTAACTGGCCTTATTTACAGTCCATTCTGAGAATATGTTACAGAACAATGGATGAATATAATTTTGAAAAGAAACTTATTTTTCTTAGGACCATGTAAAATCACAAAACAAAGAAGCTAGTTTTTGGATTTTTGAAAACCTATTGGAAAAGGAAGTTGCTAATAGAGGGCATTTTCCATACTTTGCACTTGGTTATTAATTGGAAGCTACAGTCAAGACCCAGTCCCTTTCTACACTGCCAGGTTTTTATTTTTATTTTTATTTTTTTTTAATGTCAGGAGTGACTTGAGAAACTGCAAGTCGCTTCTAGTGTGAGAGAATTGGCCGTCTGCAAGGACGTTGCCCAGGGGGACCCGGTTATTTTGATGTTTTACCATCCTTGTGGGAGACTTTTCTCATGTCCCCGCATGGGGAGCTGGAGTTGACAGAGGGAGTTCATTTGCACTCTCCCAGGATTCAAACGTCTGACCTGTCAGTCTTCCGTTCTGCCGGCATGAGGGTTTAACCCATTGTGCCACCAAAAATCCAGATTATCTGCTTTGACCCGGATTATATGGCAGTGTAAACTCAGATAATACAGTTCAAAGAAGATAATGTGGATGTCTGCTTTTCAATCTGGATTATATGTCAGTGTAGAGGTGACCTCAGGCTTGGTAGAGTGTTTGTCAAGGAACTAGACAAGATTTTGAAGTGTAAAGATATATTAATGAATATTAAAGTTATAATTGTCCATGCCATTGTATTTCCCATTTCTATGTATGTTTGAAAAAACTGATAGGAACAAAAGCAGTTCCTTTGAATTGTAGCACTGGATAACAGTTCTGCAATGACTGTGGATTGTTAAAAAGATAAATAAATGGGGTCTAGAGCAAATCAAGCCAAACTCTCTCAAGAAGCCAAGATGATTAAACTAAGACTATTGTATTATTGGCATATTGTGAGAAAATATGATTCCCTAGGAAAGGTGATGCTTGGTATGGTAGAAGGCATTGGGAAAAGGGGAAGACTAGATTACAGTTAGGGCCCTTCCACACAGCTATATAACCCAGAATATCAAGGCAGAAAATCCCACAATATCTGCTTTGAACTGGGATTGAGTCCACACTGCCATATATTTCAGTTCAAAGCAGATAATAGGGATTTTATTCAGCTGTGTGGAAGTGGCCTTAGAGTCAGTCAAGGAGGTCATGGATTTGACCGAGCAAAGCTGTTGACAGAATGACCTGGAGGTCTCTCATTCATAAACCAAAATTAATTGGACTGTGATTAATAACAAATAGAAGTGAAAGCCTGATCTGCAATAAGTCACAGATTTAAAATGTTAATTTTAAGAGATTCTTTGTAGTTTAACTACACTGCCATATAATCCAGGTTATCAAAGCAGATAATCCACATCTGCTTTGAACTGGATTATATGAGTCTACACTGCCATATAATCCAGTTCAAAGGAGATAATCTGGATGTTCTGTGGCTGTGTAGAAGGGGCCTAGTTAGGCTGCATGTTAAGTGCACATAATCACAGGTTGAACAAAGGAAGAATGGAAATGAAATGCATATCTTTCTGATTTTTCTGAAAGAAATGGTAGAAGTTACATCAGTCTCTCCTATTTTTAATTCATAAGAACCTTAGACTACACTATGGATTTCTTTTGATCCTAAAATAAATTACTATTATCTAAGAAAGTTCCCCACCCACATCCTCTTTTCTAGATCAACCTGTAAATAAAGTACAATAATAATGGGTTGTTGTAGGTTTTTCCGGGCTATATGGTCATGTTCCGGAGGCAATTTTTCTCCTTACGTTTCGCCTGCATCTATGGCAAGCATCCTCAGAGGTAGTGAGTAGTGAGACCTCACTACCTCTGAGGATGCTTGCCATAGATGCAGGCGAAACGTCAGGAGAAAAATTGCCTCCAGAACATGGCCATATAGCCCGGAAAAACCTACAACAACCCAGTGATTCCGGCCGTGAAAGCCTTCGACAATATAGTAATAATATACTTTATTTACATTCCGTCCTATCTCCCTTAGGGGACTCAGGGCGGATTACAGAACACATATACGGTATTCAATGCTATGATACAATTAACAAAGATAGATGACTAAATAAATAATTCCAACTATTTATTTATCGTGTCATCCGCAACCAGAACATTGTATTACATTTCTAACAGAACAAATAATTCCAACTGTGACAAAAGGAAATCAGTATCCATGTACTCACTGAAGAAACAGTGAGGACAGGAAAATGAGTGATCAATGTGACAATGATAAAACTATGTGATTTCACTCTGTGAGCTGAGCTATGCCCACGTATCACTAAAGTCAATGTATCATTTTAAGTGACATCACCAATATCTGGTATTTTCCTTGGGATCACCAGCTTACTCAGTGGTGCACAAGTGTTTCAAAAAGT